CTTGCCTTAATTTTCCTACTTGCTGACTTTTGGGGCTGTCTCTCAGTGTGGTATCAGAATGATTTATCACAAAACATACTTCTGCATTTTTCAAAGTGCATATGCTGCTAATGAAAATGTCAGTTGTGGGCTGTGGGTGCTGTTTTTTTTATCAATTAGCTGTGGACATTTGTGTTAGTGGGGTTTTCTGAAGCAAGTTTCTTCAGTGTGTCTGGGTTGGTAGTAGTCATCTTAGATGGAGAAGTACTTCTTGCCTGTGACAGTAATGGACATGTTCTGCCACTGGCATTCTGATGATCTTTTATAGGTTTAGAAGTATTTGCTGCTATAGAAAATACCCCTCGTTCCTGTGTAGCAGATGAAGGGTGTTTAGGTCAGGATGCTGATTTCTACGTGTAAAATCAAGGTTAGAAGCCTTGCAGATGCTGTGACGATTATGGGGCTTTTTGAAATACTCCTTCAGTAATTTGTGAATTAAAATACAGACTTTGAAAAATTCTTTGGGTGCAAACTAATGCTTCCAGCAAAACAAAACTACATCAGCTCAACAGATAATTATTGAGTAGAGTGAAGGCAGAGCAGTGTATTTGAGAAGCAGGGAAATGAGTGAGAAAATTCCTTCAATACTTTCCAGCTTTGGCACTGGCAAGAAGACGGAGTCAGGAGATCATCTGTCATGCACAGGTTGAATGTTCTGGCTGGAAGACTTATGATTCCTGTTGGAATTGGTAGACAAGTTACCCAGTGATTTTGGAGGCAGTTAAACTATATAATTAAAATGTAATTGAAATTATGTAGTGGTTTTTCTTACCCATGCTGTTACTGTTTTTCTTACCCACAGTCAGCCAGTGCTGGTCCCTGTTACATGGTGAGCAGAATAGGCTGAGTGATGCTTCTTCAAAGGAAAGAGAGGGATGTGACTTGGAACTGTCAAATTCCATGGCAGATTTGGGGGACAAATTAAATTAAAAAGGGGGAGGCAAAAAACCAGTTGAAGAAAATGTGTTGGAAATGTCAGTACATTTGTAGATCACTAACTATTTAAATGGAATAGGCAGGCCAGAATTTTGTAACTTGCTCATTTATAGTAGCTTATTTCAGTTTTCTCCTTCACTCTTCCTGCCTGTCTTTAGTAAGGTAAAGGGTTCATTGCTGCTAATACTGCACAATTTACTTTATGGTATGCAGAAGGTGGTTATTGTCTTTGCTAGAAAAAAAGGGAGTTTGCTTTTTCCACCCCTGATTGTAGATATGGCCAAACCCAGGGGGTTTTATCATGATTAGAAAGTAGCCATGTTTCTTCAGTTAAAAGTTTAGCTTTTCAGGACTGCCTGGTCAGCAGGATTTTTCCTATTCAGCCTTGAATGTTGATCATCTCTTTGCATGTTCAAAAATTGTCAGCATACAGAGTGGCAATTATGTAAAAGTAAAAATGATCAGAACCCCGTGCAAGGCAGGCAAAGCCCATCAGCACACTCAAAAACAGATGAGAGAAAGCAGCAAGGGTTGTTCTGATGGAAGCCATAGGGAAAAATCCGAAATTAGGGGGTGTATGGAGGACGTTGCCCTACAGAACATTGGAAGGTGAGAGCAAGAAGTATGAATGTGATTCAGAAGGCAATAGGGCTTCCTTTGAAGTTGGGAAAATTTGCCAGACTTTGTACAAGGTCTGTTTAAATAAAGACTGTCTGCAAGACTGGATGTAATATTTGGTTATTAAATAAAAGGGCATCTGCTCTCATAAAAGCCACCCTGTTTTGTTCATGTGTGTTATTGGCTATTTTCCTACTTTGTACAGACTTTCTATAGAATCAGCTCGTGGCAGCCTGACAAATGGAGCATTTACTGTGGCTAAAAGTACTGTAAACAAAACCAAAATAGCAAGTTTTATTGGCTTTTATAATACATTACAATTTCTTAAATTGGCAGTGGTATAGTGGAATTTGGTATTTTAGGACCGAAATGTTGTTATCTGCAAGCAGCGGACTTCATTTTCCAGCTCTTTTTTCTGTTACACACAGTGCTGCTTTTTGTGTTTGTTGCTCACGCCCATGTGTTGTCAAAACAGATTCTAATAAGAAACATTTACAGGCTCAGTTGCTCGTTCACGTGCGGCTCCACACAAATGCATTGCCTGCATTTGTTCTCATCTGTTCAAAAAAGTAATTAGTTGCCTTTGAATTTGAGGGAAATCATGATTCAAGTCTGCTTCTCGTATTGTCTCGTTATGAGCTGAAGCATATGGGACCTTCATTATAACTAAAACAAGATAAACTCTCCAAGGTAACAAAGAAACCTCCTTGAAATGCCTATGAAAATTAAATATCTGTCTTTTATACAATGATCTGATCCAGCAATCGTTATTCAAATAGAAATTCCACTGAAGTCCAGAGGAATTTTGCTGGAGTAACAGAGTTTGTGACTGAATTCTGTTGGAGTCAGCAGCAGTGTTGAACCTGGTCCCAGCAGGTACGAGGCTCAGTCCCGTGTGCTCTTCTGGTGTCTTCCCTGGGTAAGGGGAGTTCCTTTGTTTTCCCAACTTATTTTTAGTGGTGAAGAAGAGGTGAATTTCAAAATATTAAGTGGAGGTATTGCTGTTAGCAGGTGAGTACTGGCAGTGGCACAGAGTGTTTGGTGATTGATGATAAGAATGCCAATAATTGAGTTAAATTAATTTTTAAAATAAGATACTTTCTTCCACACAGCAAAAACTTAAGAATTTGTGTCTTGATATTGTTCTAAAACAAGTTAACAAGTGTCATACACCAGTTTCAAGCTTTGGTAGTTCCTAAGTAGGAACATAGGAAAATTCAGCAGTCTGATCAGAGGTACAGTATTAATGTTTAAGACCCGTGAGGAGAGGGGAAGAGGGAATAAGGGAATGTTGTGTTACAGTGTAGGCCGAGCCATTACATTTAAATGTCAAAAAGTGAGGTCCTCTCTGCCTATTAAGTCTCTTGAAATACTCATGAGCCTTATTTGTAGTTATGTGTATATTTAATGTCTGTCTAAGGAATCATGGGAGCACTTTCTCAGTTACAGGGTGATTTTGGGTTTGAGCTTTTCTCTGCACAGACAGGATCTCTCTGAGCAAGGGCTTGCCCATTATGGCTGTGTATTTTTTCATATTTTTTTAAGAAAAAATGTGAACAGATTTTCTTTTAAAGGAGAGTTTTAAAGAAAGTAGGCTGTCTTGTCTTCCCATTTTTGCAGTATTATATAGCACAAAAAACTTCCTTGTGGTTCTGTTGTGTGTGTTTTCTGTAATGAGTCTATAGATGACTTAGAGTGTTTCTGGAATCAGTTACCAAAGAAGTGAAACGTTATTAACTAAAAGGAAAAACGATCCATCTTCTTCAGACACATATTTCAGGTTTTGCATTTCATTTAAAATACATAAATGAAGTTACCTCACAACAGAAGAAAAACTTTCTTCCTAAAGGTTTAATTATCCTCCTACTGGTTTGAACTTCTGGGTCTACTGGTCTGGATTCATGTTGTTCAGTGCCAGGACAGAGGAGGTCTGATATATCTTAATTATTCTGGTTCAGTATGAAACATAAAATCTTGTGGACATCACAAAGCAACAAAAAAAGGCTTAATACTCTCTATCCTCATGTTATTTCTTTAGTGTGTCATTTTTAGAAGTATTTTCTCAACTCAAATAACAGTATCTCTGCCTGAAAATTTGGTTTCAGCTGTCACCTTTAAAAATATTTATGAAATCTGAAAGGAAATGGAGGGTTATTTTTCTCCTTTCCTGACCTTGTTTTCTGTATTTGACAGGACTGAATAATGTATGAATAACTCTGCAATCAGTTTTGCATCTGTGCCGATAGGCAATTTAATTTCTTGGTCTCCAATTCAGGAGTTACTTCCTCATGGTGATGAGCTGCTCTGTTAATCTGTGTGCATACAATTCTGCTGGCAGTGGGTTTAGAGCATTCCTTTGGAGCTGCTGGATCTGAAATGTGCCCTCGTGCCCCTTTTGAAATAGGGAAGGGCTGTTGGTGATGGTTGTGGAGAAGGGATCATCTGGGTCATTCATTTGGGTGAAGCTGTGGAGGGAAGACTGAGCCAAAATTCTGCAGATGCTTCCATGGGACAATGGAGCACAATAGGGGATGAATAAGACACTTGGATAATGATAAAGCTTTAGTTGGACCTGGCAAGGAAGCACACTTGGCTTTTTGAAGCAGATGATCACACCTTTGATCTCTTTTCAAGGAGTGGGGATTTACATCACAGTTCCAAAGCCTGTGGAAATATTTCTGAAGTTAATCCTGCTGGTGACCTGCAAAGGAGAGGATGGCTGTAGATGCACCTCTGTGCTCACAGCTCTGCACCTCATGCTCCTGGAGTTGCTGTCAGCATCCCTGGGGATGCAGTTGCAGAACTGAAATGGTAGTTGGCTGTTCAGAGGTCTCAGACATCTCTTTGCTCATGCAGTTGACACAAATCTTAACCAGCGGTCAGAAGGAAGGGGTAGAGGGGAAAATGTTTGCTAGTGTGTAAACCTGAGCAAAACCAAAGGAGAAAAGGTTACCAGATTAGGGAGTTGCCACATTAATATACGTTATATTAATGTACATTAATACACATCACTGATAAATATAGAGCACTTGAAAGCTATCAAGTGTTCTTTAAAATAGCAAAATAAAATGTAGCTGTATTTATCATTCACATGAGGTACAAATTCTCCTTCACAAGCAGATGTGAGCCCATTAGCTTTGATGAAGTTTAGTAAGCTTCCAGGGTTTGCTGTTGGTTTTCAAAGCAGGTGAACACTGTGAAGAGCTCCCTACTTGCTTAGTTATTTTCTGTTGCAAAAACGAATATAAACAAAGAAGCTTTTCAGTACAGGAATAATTGAATCTTTGATACAGGATTTGGGTTTTCATCTTTCAGATTATACTGACCCGATGCATTAACCCACTAACCAGAGTTTAATGAGTAACCTCCAGAAAACACAACTGAATTTGCTCTTTTTCTCCTTTAAGGTGGTTTCCTCTAGAGTCCAGACAAGGGAAGAGAACTAAAGACAGAGGAGAAATAAAGGTCAATATTCAGTTTATGAGGAATAACATGACAGCAAGTATGTTTGATTTGTCAATGAAGGACAAAACCAAATCCCCTTTTGCTAAACTAAAAGACAAAATGAAGGGTCGGAAAAACGATGGGACGTTTTCGGACACATCCTCTGCAATCATCCCAAGTACTCACATACCTGATGCAAACATAGAGCTGGGTAGTGGGGAAGTACAGATGAAATCCAAACCAAAAAAACCTTTCCTTTTGGGACCTCAGAGGTTGTCCTCAGCTCACTCGATGTCGGATCTGACGGGCCCGCACGTCTCCTCCGAGAGGGTGAAATCCGGCACCGTTGGCTACTCCCACCTCTTCAGGCGCCAGCTGGAGTCCTTTGGCTCCGTGGATGAAGGGGGTGAGTAAAACTCATGGCCACTACAAACACAGTTCCCTGCTAGTAGGGCATTCAAAATCTGTTTCTTCAGTTCATGAAGCAATACAAGGCCAAAAAGTAAATAAATATTGCTGACCTAGTTTTTTTTACTTCCTTTAGTTGGTGGTAGCTCATCATTCCTACTTCTGAGCATAAGAAATTACTTATTTTGTGAAAATATATGATAATTTAGCTTTTCTTATGTTCTCATTCGAGAGTATATTGTAGTGAAGCATTGCATTCTGGGACTATAGGCAAAATAGCACCTTGTGAGAAAAAAGTTTAATTAAAAAGTTGAAAACTATCACCAATTTTTAAATGTGATTTATACAAAGAACTGAAAATACTTTGCTGTGTTCAAAGTTATTATGCAGCAACAGACTACTATCTCTTTCTGGAATGGCTCACTAGTCATAGCTGTCTTTTCTGTAGAACTTAGTTTTCACACAGGAAACAAAAATTTCCTGTAGTATCTATCTATAAACATTTCTGAACCACAAAGCCAAGCTGTTAATTTATTTTTTTTTTAAATAGCTTAGTTACTCATCAGAATTTTGAACTGACACTCCCTTGCAGAGGTCCTAGATCTGAGCTAAACTGGGTTTTCTGCATGTCATAAACTGTGGTACTGTGTCTATTGATAATATACTAATGACAGATTGTTTGCAGGGAGTCTAAAATCTCCACACAGAAGGACATTAAGTGTTGATACTTCTAAAATGAACCAGCTTGACAGCACGGTTGATGAAGCTGCACTTGAAGCACAAAATGACCCATTTACCAATGTGAGTGCTTCGTTACCCCAAAAATTTGCCACACTGCCAAGACAGAAGAACCCGTTTGAAGAGAGCCCAGCAACGTGGGATCAGAACATAAGTCTGTTCTCCAAACCCGGGGAAATCAGGAGAGAACTGAAGAAAGAGAAAAAGGAGAAAGTTAGTCTTTTTGAGAGAGTGACTGGAAAAAAAGATGGCAAGAGGTCAGATAAACTCAGCAATGGGGGATCAGACAGTTCCACTGACCTGAAATCGCCCGGGGTGGTCGGGGAAGCTCATCAGGAGAGTTTTGATTATGAGCCAACTAATCCCTTTGTGACGAACTTCAAGCCCACAAGCATGTTGCCATCTTCAAGGTAGGCTTCAGTCTGATATCTTCAACATGTGATATAAATGAAAATGTGAAGTGTTGAGGAACACCATCTTTGTGCTTCATATGCCTTTATATCATTGCTTGTCTGTTTCTGAGTAAAAGTTATAAACTTTTTATATCATTTTCTTCATTTTGAAGTGACCTTTTTATTACTATTTATTACTGTTTTTATTACTATTTATTTTATATGTACTGTGAATGTTCTTGGGTACTTGCATCTGTGGAAGACCTTGTTTGTGCTTCAGAATGGCTTCTTCCTTCCTGAAAGTCTTCTGCTTTCACTGAACACTTACTGCTAATTATTGCATTGCCCAAAGTCAGGCTTTTAGAGGGAAAAATTTCAAATCTAAGGGAAGAATAAAATGAAATAAATAAAAGAGCAAAGAAAATGTGAGTAGTGAAAACAAGTCCTGTGGATGTCACTGTGTGAGGGGAAAAAAGAGTATTTAGGTTCTATATGTTAGAGTACAAGAATTAAATACCATTTTATTTCTAATTGGGGACATCCACATGGCCACCCACCTCTCTTGAATTCCTTTGGCTTTCTGTGGATGGAAATCCTTGCACAAGGCAGCAGTTTAGGGGTTGAGCAGAATGAATTAAGTCCCCAGGGCTGATAAGAAACTTTGATTTAAATAATCCACTTTAATCTTTGTCTATCAACACTTTACCTGTTGTCCTTAAGAAAAAAAAAAGTGTAACCCACAGTTAGATTTCTTTCTGGCCTTTGTTTACTAGTGAGGAAGATACACTCTCTGTCTCTCTGTCCACACACCCTCACATATACTGTTCCCAATAGATAAATGTTTAAGAAGTTAAATAATTAACTTTTATTCATTTGCATTTTTTTTAATGGTATATTGTATATTAATGTCCTTGTTTTTTCAAGGTAATGATTAATTTCTATTTAAGGACTTAAATTTGGTAGAAAATGCATTTAAAATTAAAATGCTCCAAACTGTAATCTTAAGATTGGAAAATAAATCACTGTTTTAAATGGAAAACATGTTCTAACAAATTTTCCTTCTCCTGTGTATTAATTCCTTAATTAATGACATGGGAGTAGTTTCTTAAAAAGAAATAAAAACTTGTTTTTTGTTATCTTATTCTTTAAGATTTTAGAACAGGGTGATCTTATTGTATCTGAACTCAGTTTTATTCATAGTTAGAATGCATGCACTCCTGATTTAACCTTAGAGTAATTTTCTTAACAAAAGTAATGGTGGATGTTAATTACATAAATGGACTGAACTGGAACTGCTGTAGAAAAGATTCAGTTGTTAGAAGCTCACACAGACTTCAATGAATTATCTTCTTAGTGTCTTCTGTGAGTCAGGTCAGTTCCTAGTGTCTGCAATAACATGTTTACAGGCAGTCCTGGAATATTAGTTATTTAATAAAGGCTTTCTCTGGATTAGAGGAAGGTTAGGTTGTAGCTTGGTTTGTCAGAAGTTAAACTTCCGTTTAAATAAGCTGCTTTAAAGAGAAATAATTTAAATAACAATTAAAACTACATAGCATTTAATTTTTTTAAAATGAAACACTGTATTCAGGCAGATGCTAGATATAAGCAGTGAAATCTTTTGAAGTTCTTGAATGCAGCAAATCTTGATAAATATAAATCTTTAATGGTAATCATGATGGACTTCTTTTTCTTTATTTTGTAATTAAAAAGCTCATCAGAGTGCCCATTCAGAAGGACTCCAGTCATTTGTTTCCCTCTTTGTATGAGAGTCTCTTTTACTAGTTCTTGACTTTTATGTAAACATAAACTTTTGATAAAACAAATAGATATTATTTTATTTTCAAAAAGAAAAAAAATAAACGTTTTGACCTTTTCTATCAGGCAGCTATTATGGAATAGTATCTAGCGTGCAATAAGTTGAGTTAGAAGCTCTTGATTTTTATGTGTTCCATTATTATGTTCTGTGCAAACCTTTTAGACTTAGTTTACTTTCTTTCAAATGTATCTTGTACAATTATTTTCTTTTGAAGTAGAAACTAATACAAAATGTGCATATTTAATAAGTTTACAGTTTGAGTTTACCTTTTATCTGTGGAGGATTTGTCGAAGAGAGTCCCATTTTTAATTTTTTTGAACTAGTAATACTGTAAGAAAGAATTGCATGAATCTGTGGGCACAAAATACATGAGGCTGGGTAATGAATTCAGTATGCAGAAAGCATGGACAGGGAATTTAGACCCTGAGTTGGTTTTTATTTACTCAACATGCTATTAAGCTCTTTTGGATGGATCCCATTTCTGCAAGCGAATCAGGCAGTGTGTTGTTATTAAGGTGTGTCCCAGATGAGTGTTCTGCTGTGGGGAGGTGTTTGCTCGGCACTTGGATCTCCCAATTAACCCAGTTAGCTCAGCCTTGGTGTGAGGGATGGAACAGTCCTGGGGCTGTGAGCTGGGCTCCTGTCTGACGAAATTCAGCTGGAAGGTGGGTCCCAGGAGCACACTGTAACCACAGAAGGACAGCCAGTCTGGGGGACCAGGCTGGAGATAAAGCAAAGTGGAAGGAAAAAAAAAAACGACAATAAACAAACCACAACAACTCTTCCTCCAAAGAAAACCCCCTGACCCAAACCAGCTCCCCCCGTGTGTGGTGTGGGTGTGACCTCTCAGCAGTGATGGGGCTGTGCCTGGGAACTTGGTGGGAGGCTCTGCAGTGACTTTGGGGGGCTTTGGGTCGGGTCCTAATTACCAAAGTCCATCCTAATGAACTGTGGTTGGTAAGTTACTGAGCAGTAAATTGTGGAGAACATCAGTGCTGGGCGGGTGAGCTGCAGACAGAGCTGCTGAATAGCCCTTCACCCAGCCCATCCTTCCTTCTAGCTGAGCGTATGCATGCTCTGTCACTAATTACTCTGATGTACTAATCTTCATTCTTTTCATTAGTAAATCTGCCACGTGTTTCTCAGCTGATGATACAGAAAATGTAGAAGTGGTTCAGCAACAGTTACGGGATTTATTTTTTTCTAAAAGCAAGTGTCTCAGGATTATTTGAAAATCATTATTTATTTTTGTTACTATTATTTATTATTTTTCTTTCAAGGAGGTTTAAGAAGTATTTTGGAAAAGCAAAAGAAAACCTGCTTGCTTTGTATATAATACTAGTTATCAGGAAATCACAAAATATGGACCTCTGATTTCTATTAATCTCTGACCTGGCAAAGGCTTTTTCTTTGGCTTTGGCAAAATCACCTAGATCTGTAAAATGGGGATGATATTTTGTTACCCCCTGGAAATGCTGAGTGGATAAATTAGTATTTTTTAACATTTTTATAGGTATTGTATTGCAGTATTACATAAGTGTTAAGATTGAGGGGTTATATTGTTGGGTGTAGGCGTAATACAGATATTTATGAGCTGACTTCCTGACAATTTAAAAATGCAGGAGTCTCATAGTGAAACAAAAAATGCTATTTTAGCAAATATTACAAAATCTGTTGGTTCCAGAGGTTTTATATCATACAGCCAGTGAAGAATTTTTAAGCAAACAATATGTCCAGTGTTCTTCAGGCCAGCATTTACCAAGGACAGCTTTGTCTTCCTACTTCTTAATCCACTGCTTTGAAACTTTGACCTAATATTGCCTTAAATTGAATTTGTTCTTACAATCACTGCTATTGTCATGGCTCTCAAGAGGTTAATTTGCAGTCAGAAGCCACGTGGATTTTGTATTGAACACAGTTAAAGAAACTGAAGGTTGTTTTGTGCCATAACCAAACCTGGTGCATCATTTTTCTGAAATTGTTTTTGTTTAGGAAAATACATGACACCACACTACAGGCTAATAAACTGATGTGCAAATTTCTCAATTTACACCACTTGACAAGTGCTAAAAGAAAAGCATCTTTAATTTTAATGTGTTATTAGGACCTTTTTAGAGAGATTGTACAAGTTATTAACAAGGTCCTCTGAGACAGGAGACGGGTAATTAACAAGACCTACAGAAAGAGAGTTTAGGTAATTAATGAGATCTTAGGCACTGGACACAGGGAGACAAACAGGCCAATATTTAAAGCTGACAGGTTGTTACTCGTCTGATCCAATTGCAGATCTGGGAAACTGGATTGATAGGTGTTTGGGAGCTTTCTACTAAACATTGTATATAATGTTATACATAATTATGTATATAAAATACATACACATATACAAACAAGGTAAGTGTGTGTCTGTATATACATATATATGTATGCACATATAGGGAGAAGCATTAAAAAACCCCTTCTAAAATATGACTTCTGTTAAACTTCAGAGAAAAGAAGATAAAGCTTGTGCCTACGTACAAATTGCAGTTTATCTCAAGTTCTGACAGTAGGATGTTACATTCTAACCAGTGTGGAAGATGGGATAGTGGAGGAGAAAGAAACCTCTGTCTTGCTGGGATTCACTGTAACAATTATGAACCATGCTCATACTTATAACAGTCCCTGGTCAATTGGAGCATAAATTATAAAAATACTACTTAATATTTTTTTCTGTGTTCTCTTACTGCTTGAGCGTTTTTTAAAATTTGCAGCTCAAAAAGAAAAAAACCAGCAACCCAACCCTTAAACTGTTTCTGCTTTGTCATTTGTGAATGTGGTTATTTTCTTCAGCCCTGTGCTCTCCTCACATGTGGCTGTTGGAGCTGCCTGCCTCTCCAGTGGCACCTGTGCCAAACAGTTTCATTCTTCCTCATGGAGGAATATTTGAAATCAGCAATGTCGCTGCACTGGGACAAGTTCATTATTAGGCTGGTTAAAAAACAAATGAGGTGCCATGAAAACACGGGGCTCTTGGTAAGAGCAGTGTGTTTGGATCCTGTTGAGTTTAAAGAACAGCTGGTGTCTGCTCCATTTCCACAGACATTCACATTTTGTGTGTGTGATGGTCAGCCAGCCACAGAAGCTTTGCCAAACCGTGGTGTTCCCCTGCCTGGGTCACTGCTTGAGCTGAATTAGCAGGTACCTGTCCCTACTCAACTGTAAA